GCTCTGCTAAGGCTGAGCCCAGGAGGTAATCGTAGTGTCCTCTCTTGGCGCCAGCGCCAAGAATGAGTGTCATACTCGTAATCAGGATGTTGAATTACCCCTATATACAAGTTTTTAGTGGATTTGGTGACTTAGGCAATTTGAAAATGAGCTCGAAGACGAAATTTCTGGAGTCCAAACGGCATTAGCCGCGAACTCGCCCGGAAGGCGTGAGGCTCATTTACCACCGGAGGTTCGACTTTTGCCCATAACTCAGCATTTTTGATAACTTCTAGAAGAAACAGTAGTTGAATCAAAGAAGAAATTGTCCTGCTTGTATTCAACTTGCTTTTATACGTCTAGCGATTAGCAGCTGATGACTGCTAATAGAAACTGAATACGGAAGCCAGTCAGAACGATGCGCTACCCATTCATTTACCATAGTAATTACAAAGATAGTCAACAATACAGCAACATAATTAAAATATGCCTAAACACGTCTAGGTCTATAGAACGCCAGTGAACAGTTGAGTTATCGAGAGAATTCGGATGAGAACTCTGAGGTTCGAGAGGTAGTGGGTGTACCAGACATATATGAAGGAGCATCAGTGAACATATAGTCCGGTGGAGGCATTGGTTTTGATTGTTGGCCAGATGAAGCACTAGGTGAGGACATGTCAAATGATGGTTCCATTTTCGAGTAGTCTGTTGTCATTTCGCCGAAAGACGGTACTTTTCCTCCACTCATAGCATATGGATCGTTCTGAAAAAGGGACAGATATTCTCTGAAGGAACCGATCTAGAAGGCATATAAGCCGTTTTGGTAAGTAAATCAACGTACATAAGAGCGATCTGTTGAAGCATATGGATCCTTCTGAAAGAAAACAATCAACGATTCTATCAGAAATACAATTGACAACTTCATGAGATGCTAAAAAAGGTAGACTCACGTAGGATCGATCTGTCGCAGAATAGTCTTCGAATTTTCGTGGTTGAATTCCACCAGCCGAAATATCAGGAGTGGTAAATCCAGATTCCTGCCTGTGACGACGGCGAATATCTTCGTAACTGGTTGAAGAGTGGCCGATATTGTACTGAATCGGTGATCATTAGTGCTGTTTGCAGGAATGGATTAGCTACGCCCAAAACAGAACGACTCACGAACCACCCGCAATGTTCTGTGTACAGTCCTCATCATTGCGGACCGGTGGGGCGTGTCAGCCAGAAGGAGTGCGCACACTGTTGAAGCCGTTCTCAGCCTTTTTGTTGAACGCGTATGCGACAAAAAGTGGTAGAAAACGAGTAATACGAAGGATATAATACAGTCACTTGTTCGCTTCAAAAACTGGTGCAGAACGACTTTGCCAAACCGCACCAAATGCAGCCGCACTGCCACGCCCCACCGGTCCGCAATGATGAGGACTGTACTGGTCTATAGTGTAGTTCGCCGCGGACGGTTAGGGCGTGCCAGGCCGGATAAGTTTGGCGCGGTGCCAAACCCGTTCTCCACCAGTTGTTAAAGCGAGCAAATGATATGACTGTATCATATCGTTCGTATTACTCGTTTTCTACCACTTTTTGTCGCATGCGCGCTTCAACAAGAAGGCAGAGAATGGCTCGACGGGGTACACTACTCGACTGACACGCCCAACACCTTAGCAAACTAGATGTCTATGTACTAGTAGAGGAGCGGACTAAAAGCCCATATCCAAGGACGGAAGAGGCGTGCTTGCAATAGGAAATCAGACAAAAGAAAGGCAGGAGACGGGAGACGAAAAGAGAGTGGCGGAATACGCAGTCACGCCTCATGCTGCCCTCCTATATGGATGATACCTTTCCGGCTTTATTGGCTTCAACATCTATTTAATACACCCTCAGGGAAGGACCTAGTTAAATATTAGGGAATAAATTGATACCCAAACCATTTTAAAGTCTTGTTCGCTGCGGATGATGGGGCGTGTCAGTGAGGCTGGGTTTGGCGCGCCGCCAGCCCATTCTCCACCGGTTGTTGAAGCGCGTAAGCGACAGCAGCTGGTAAAAAAACTGATACGAGTGATGTGATACAGTTTTGTCGCCCGCCGAAGAACAGAAAAAAGGACTGGTGCTGCGCCAAACCCATCCCCTTGACATGCCCCATGATCTGCAGTGAACAAGACTGTATCCTTGCGCGGTCGTGCATTCAGCTACAGCATACTGTACCTCTCTCTCATCCTATTTTGAGAGACTGCAGCTACATCACTTGATGATAAAACATACCTTTTGCCACATTTTAGCAATAAAAGGTTGTATACGATCACGGCACTGTCCCATGGCAAAAACGTTGACAGTAGTAAGCGTTCCTATTCCCATTATGGCATAGAATGGCCATCCTTTGGGTCCGAAATGATATTGAGGAGGCAGACGAGTTCGAGCGAAATACAGTGAGCCAAGCACAGCGGCAGTGATTGGAAGTCCACGGGTCATTGTAACCTGAAAGCATCACTCTTTCATGTAAATTAATGAACTAATGACCGGTAGCCAAACTAGAAACCAAGTGTTGCATCAATTTAAAGACAGACCCCGCGACTGCATACTGTGGATAGTGGCATTTACAAACCTACAGTCGCTAACTCACTCTCCAGGCAAGGGAAAAAAGGTAGTCAAAAAAAGTAAAAAAAGGTAGAAAAAGTAGAAAAAAAAGTAAAAAAAAGCCATGGAGGACTCCCTAAGGACCCCTGCAGCCTCACTGCACAAGTTCTTTCTTTCTGTTCACTCTATGCAGCAAAGTGATATTCTGCGGCCTCTGGCTCACTAGTTGTTTCTTCGCGCCATCTGATGCTAATACCGTCTAACAGTGGAAAAAAGAAAAGCAGTGTAAAAACTGAACTCGTGACAGAGAATAGCCTTGAGTTTTGGGAAGGGACTACTAGGAAGGTGTCAGAACTGTCATGTATGAGGACCACAGCGCCGAGATCTATGCATACTCATGCTTTTTTCCCTTACACGGAATCTCAGGATCCGTGCACACTTTCTTTTTCGCGGATTCTCTCATTCCTAGTTCTGCGATTCATCGACTTCCTGTCACAAGATATGATAGTGTGACTTGAGACCGAGTTCAAATCCAGCATCGAACTGGGAAATCGAATAATCCGCGAGAACCGTTAGTCAGAAATCGGTCTCGTCGCCTTCAATCCGAAGCAGAATCGATTTCTCTCATAAGACTAACCAACTCTCCAACCCTTTCAAAGCGCATAAGCGAAGCGTAATTGGGCACTGTTCGGCTTAGCGGAGGAGTGGGGAGAGAAAGGGGGGGGGAGGAGGAGAATTTTGCGCGTTCACTACACGCAAAATTCTCCTTCCCATTCTCTCTCTCCCCACCATCTCACTAGTTCCTTTGGTGAGTGTAGAAAAAAAAACTTGTAAAGCTGCAAAATCATTTGAGCCCAGTTACAGGAATCTGCAGGTCATAACAAGAGATTCCGTACAAGCCTTGCTGAGCACCACCTACCAGGCAAAACTGTCCCCCCCCCGGTTCGTCACCCAACGAAGCATAGGGAGAGAAGAGATAAAACTTAGTTCCGTTTAAAAGAAGTTCTCCCTGCTATATTTCCAGAAAGAGGCGCTCAGTCTCCAGTTTCTAGTTCCCTTTAAGGTTTCTTTTTCTTCTGCTCCCACACTTTCACAATATGAGTAAAGGAAAATAGCGAAAAGAACTAATCCGCGTACCTCTGTAGTACAAGCTCTCAATGTATCGGTGAGTTCCTTTCGTTCATCACTGGACATTTTGTTGAGTAGCTTCTGCAGCTCTTCATTGTTCAGATTCACCTTCTCCAGATTCCCATTACTGAACGACATTCCTGAAACACATGAACGATTGACAATTATAAGCCTGAATCGTCGTTTACGAGCGAACTTCCAGAATCAGCAACTACAACGGGAAGGCACTACCACAAAAAAGGAAGGCTGCGTTCATACTTTTCGTCGCCTTGTAGGCGAAGCGCAAGGGATAGGCATCGATCTAGGGTTTCAGCGCTGATCGATACCTATGATTTGCTTTTCGCTCAGAACGCTCGAAACGATCAAAACACCGACATAAGTATGAAGGCAGCCGTGCAGAGGCAAAGGAGGAGCGGTCGGTAGAACATTCTTCCCCTGACCGGGAAAGAGCGACACAAGGTGGGGCGGCTTCTCGTTCTCGCCAGATATGTCGTTGTTCGATTTCTGCCTTATCTATGGGGCTTTTTAAAAGGAAAGATCGTCTCCAAACACCATCATCAAGGGTTGAAAACTTTCTTTGAGGGCTAGGATAAGTTTTATGGGGGTTGAAATTGATCTGTTGCTGTACAGATGTGAGAAGTTTACCTTTGCCAACGCTTATATCAGCAGTATTGCGGAGTTCCACTTTCCCAACCAATTAAAGTGGTGTTTTTTTTGAGACATCGTGAAACTAAAGGGCAGCTTTCTGCCAAATGTGATAATCCTCAGACAATTCAAACACTTTAGGCTTTATTATCAGTACAGGATTACCGTTGGATCTTGACCACAGTCCACAAATTAGCAAAACAGATCCATTCTGCAGCGCACGCGAAATTTGATTGTGAAGTGCGAAGAAGTAACCAAAGGAATGCCTCTTCGACACGGTGGAAATCGAAGGATTGAGAGAATTAGAGGGGTTACCACAATAGCCGAACATAAAAGCTCAAAAATATTACAGAAGACCCTGATCTGCTAGAATGGTAAGAACTGATGAGTTGACGATTGGGCGCTCCATCGCCAATGCAAACGCCGCGACGCGACGGGACCACAACGACCGGCAGCGGCGGCTTGTTGAACAGCTGATTCATCGGAAATCACTTTCCTTTGATGTCGTTGTTTTCGGTTCCCTCACGGAACCTTCCTTATCATTTCGTGGGACGCGGCAGCTACCATATCAGTCGTTGAATGCTTGAGGAAGTCTTGTTTTTGTTTATTATTCATTTTATTTGCGATGGTGTCTCTGCCTTTCTTCTAAATACTTCGGAGTGAAGTTAAACGTTGAAGGGAAATTGGGCTGAAATTTGTATGCTTTTTCCCATCCATAATAGGTGGCCGGTCTGCACTGAGTTGGTTACTGTATTATTACCTCTTTTTGCGCCGAAGTTAATGGTATTAGACTTCGCCAGTACTGTTTTCCTAAAAGTTCCGAGAGTTTTTTCTTCCAAAGCATACTCGCTTATGTCAGCTCTCATCTCAGTTCTTTTTCTAATGTTTCCTTTCTGCTTAGTTTATAGAACTATATTCCATTTGTTTGTGCTGCTGAAAAGCTAGTCAGCATTTAAATAATAGACTTGACATAATTAGAAAATGTATTTGAATTGCGAACATCTACCCACTGGAAATATCTGGATCACTCTTCAACGTTTAGTAGGCTTGGAAAGAGAGCCTACCATTGGGAAATGTGGTGCCTAAAAATTCCAAAAAATATTCGGGTTTGATAGGTAGGAGAAAGTGTGCAGGTGAAAGAAATGTGTGGAATTGCAGTGGATCGGAATAATGACAGGTCACAAGCCGCTGCACAGCTTTCCGGAAAAAGTGGTTTTCAAAAGCAATCATTCAAAGCAAACGAGTTTTCAATCCGACATGTGATAAAATAAAAAACAGTATGATTGAGATTTTGGACTTGCGCAGCTTTTCCTTCTTGTTTTCACCAGTTCAAGGAAAGTTTGATTGTTCTAAGATGGGCATGGTAGTCTAGCAATCCTGTCTAGTATAGTGGTTTCGAAAAATGGATGGTTGGTTCCTTTCAAGGTTTTCTCCAGTTCAAGGCCCAGTAGGATAATACGGTTGATTTCCGTGGCCTTTCTTTCGTCACACTCCTTTCTGTCGGATTGGCCCACAAGTAATGGCGTTTTTTCTCACTCGAAATATCGCGCTAAAGATGAGAAGTTTTGCCATTGAGTTTTACGCTGTTTTGCAGAAAATTCCTCGCCCTACCCGAGGTTCTTAGTTTTCTTCAATTCTCTTCCCACCAATATTTAAATGCTCAAACTGGAGTGCCGAGTCAACAAAATTGAGCCTTTTCGACAGCCTGTTTTCTTTCTCCTCTAATTAAAAAAACTAAAACAGCTCAGGCCCAATTGCTAAGTATATGGCCAAGAGGTTCTGTCTCTCATAAAGGCTCATAATGGTTTTAATCATTCGAAGATTTCAATATCCACATCACAGACAAGCATCGAACCTAATGTCCTACTTACTGAGAGCTTGTAGAACCACCTTATTCATGGATATTCATGTCGGAATCGTCGGAGCTCATAGATGCTTCCTTATCATTATCAAGCGTCACCCTCAATGATGTTAGACGTTTGAAGGTTACTGGGTAGCTTCTGCAGGAAGGGCCCAAGGAGCCCCCCCCCTCTCAAGCGATGCACTTTATACTACCTTATAGAGCAGAAGATTATCTATCGAATAGAATAGAACGCATTGAAAATGTTTCCGTTTTCATGGAAAAAAAACTTTATAAGGTAAAAAAACGCCATACTTATGAGCCAACAAATCATGTCCGCTCCTAGTTCAAAAGCTTCTCGTTTCCTTAGATATTCTGCTGTAACTATAAGAGAATCCGTATTTTCTTGGATGGCACGGTCTCGCATAGAGGATAAAGGGCGCATCTGGTTGACTGCACAAAATCCCGTGTAATCCTATGAAGACTTTTAAACTGGTGCTGCAAAATGGTATAGGCTTCATGTTTCACGCAATCTCCTCGCGTTATTCCATTTTGAACGGCGTTTAGTGCAGGAACGTGCAGTCTAAAATGTCACGCAAGGCGTGCGGATTTTTGCCTTTACAGGCTCTAGGAAGAAGCTCCGGGTGGGTGAACCACCTAGGGCGAAAACTGGTCTGAGGACGAGGCTCGTGATATCGCTTAGCTTCACAGGGGTTCACATTCTCCCCTCCCCTACTCCCAAATCAAACCACTTCCCTCAAGCATAGGTTTTATAAACGGAGTAAACACGGCTCTGTTTTGTGAAAAGTTTGCAAAGGTGATTTCTTGTGTAATCAGTTCTCGTTTCGGCCATGTTTTCAAAGGTTTTTAATCTGGGTACACACACCAGCTCTTTATCATTCTCTCTCTCTCTCTCTCTCTCTCTCTCTCTCTCTTTGAACGACCTTCTCCCATCTTTTACTACTTGTACGATTTTATTTAATGGGAAACTTAATGGAAACTGTGTAAAATCAAATGAATTCTATCCTCCGATCATTCGATGTTGCTTTGACTGAATCCATGGCATAATCGAAAAGATGTCAATATGCTAATAACATTGTTTTTGTTGACACTTTCACAAAACTGGTTTCTCAGCGGTAGTTGGTGTTCCAAGTAATAGATAAGTGGTGTGTCGAAAGAATCTTGAGAAGGAGAAGGTAAAGAAGCAGTGAGTGCTAACTTAAGGGTTACTGCCTAAGAACCTCTCTGATATGAACTTTTCAAACTTCTTTTTATTTTACGACACTCACAAAGATCCCGATGTCCTTGGCAGCTGAAATTCCTGTTCATGCTTTGTGCGTGCGATTTCCTCCGATGACCTTTTTGTTTCTCTTGGTTTGGGAATTGATAGAGCGCCTTGGCACACATTCTCCGCGTTCCTTGGTTGAATCATATGAGACGTGTTAAATTTTATACTGGTTCTTATCGCTTCAAGACATGTTGTAATGGTTCTTTTGTTTTTAGGTCATTGTAACCCGTAGACCCGATGGATTCTCGATAATTGGCAGTAGAAATACCATTCAGGAAGAGTACCATCGTTTGCTTCGATTACTAAGAAAAAATGCTGCCTTATTTATTTCTTGTGGTTGTTTGCTTTTTCCCAGTAGGTAAGTCTCTTTCTGCATATTACTGCTTATTTTTATTTTGCTTTTGTTGTTTATCAGCAAGCCCACTTTCATAAAATATGATATTTCAGTATATCCTCTGAACAATTTCGTCGATAATTACGAAAAATTGAATTATCGTGTTGTGAATACTGCTCGAAGGAAGCGTTCATCGGGCTACGCGGAGCCTTTAAACTTGAATTTCTTCGCATATAATAGGTTTGTTCAATTCGCAATTAGGTTTTTCTTTTTACACCATACGTAATGATTTGTTGTATTTATTTTTCGTTCATCACGAGGCGGATGTGGTGTAGTGGCACGTGGGCCCCCTCACCACTCGCGCGGTCCCGGGTTCGAATCCCGGGTCGACTCCCGCCCAGGCCAACCAAGCCTTCTACCCTCCGGAGACGATTAATTGGGACCCGATTCATCAGAAAGGGCAAGAATAATAACTTGTACATCGGCTGGCCCCCTAAGTAATTGTATAGCTGCGTGCGCACCCCAAAAGGGATTAATCAACGGGCAGGACTTAATCCTTCATCCTTTAGTTTTTTTTATAAATCCTTCATCCTTTAGTTTTTTTATACTTTTCCTTGGATATTCATACTGGCTTTACACTGTATTCGAAACATTGAAGTTCAATTAGCATTTCTACTCTTTCTAGGTCGTTTCATCTAAGCTTATTACCACTGGATCCATACAATGATCACTTTCATCCTGATCACATATTAGATGAAGATGGTCGTTACGAAGATATTCAGCCTCACAAGTTCCTCTATGAGGGATTCCTCAAAGGTCAGTTATATTATGGTAACGCTCCCTTCCTTTTTCTATTCTGTTATTTACTGACTACTGTTTTTATTTACTGATTTTATGAGGTTAATCGGGTTTGCTTGTTTGTTAATAATAATTATTATTATTATTACTATAAATAATAATAATAACAAAATGTGTTAAGGTGTTTTGAATAGTTGTTCAAGGAAGCCGCAATAGTTGTGCAATGGCCAAACCCCTGTCCTGAAATACGCTCTAATCAAATCGTCTTTAATATTGATAATTGCAAGAACTCAAACTAGATCAAAGGTTTTGAATTTGTAGAAGTTTGAATGCTCTTTTACGTACAAATACATTTTCTCGATGAAATACGTAACCTTCAAAAGGTGCACTGCTGTATTTGTAAGATTTGTTAAGTTGAACTTTCGCTCACATGAACCCTATGTATATTCTACAGGGCTTCTATGACCTCATGCTTTTTCATTGCAAGGGTGTAGAGGTATTTTCTCATCGCAACTTCAGACTGAGCGTCTGAAGGGAGGAAAATAAAGAGAGGGTTGGGGAGAGAGAAGGAGGGAGGAGAAGGGCTTCGCGTTTGGCAGATATCCAAAAAGTGTGAAAGAATCTTGATTTCCAGTTTTTTTTCCTGATTAGCCAGACTTTTCAACGCTTGTGACTGATTCCGAGTACGGTCAAGACTGAATAAGTATAGCATTTTCGATCGATGTTTGCGTCGTGAATAACCATTTTCTTACGAAAATCAGCCAAGTTTCTGCTCCTCGGATCACTCCAACTGAGCTTTTCAAAGAAACGTGAACTTTTTTGAGGGGAATGCTCGAAGAGGAATATTCGAGAATGAGCTTTTTCTTTCTCAGAGTAAGATTTTGTTTTAGATGACCCAGGATCTAAAGTATATGGATCTATTCTTGACGGGGTGTTCGAAGGTCACATCAGAACAGGGGATGGTATTTCATACAGTGTGGACAGAGCAGCGAAGTACTTCGATTATGACAGTCGTCCTTCTCAATATCACTCGATTGTCTATCGGGATGGTGACATCAATCACAGTAAGATACGTGTGAAAAGGTTCGCATAATTTTTTTGAGCCTTATGAATCGCTAATTCCCCAAGCTCGAAAACTGAAATAGTCGTGTGAATCGTTGTTCCTTTCAGATCGGCATCCTCTTCTGATTCCCACGTCAATGGCCTGCATTCATGTGGTCTAGATGATCGTGTGAAACGTGAAATGGAAAGGATACAACGTTCAGCGGAAGTTCCTTCGGATGTTTACACGAATTACATGACTATGTAAGTTGGTGACTCATTCGGGCGCAGTTTGCCGACGGGGAGCATTTGCATTTTCGTTGCTTCACTAGTTCTGGTTTACAAGTCTCACTCTGGTGAAACCTGTGAACTCTTGTGAAGCTGGAGCAAGCTCGTCAAGCCATCATGGTAAAACCTGTCAACTCGAGAAGAGGCTGTCTAGATGGGTCGACACGTCGATGGGAAGTCGTTAAGTGCAAAATGCCCCCCCCCCCCGTCGCCAAACAGCGCCCTCATTCTGGCATGCCTTATTTTCGGGGTATAAGGCGAACTTGTCAGCACGATCACCGGAAAGGCGCACGACAACGCACGCAAATGGCTCACGAAGAAAGCAACAGCCAACAATTTGGAGTCTTCTTTCATCAGTTCTGATTTCCTAGTGTTTCGAAACGTTTCTTGTTCGATATAATGCTCAATATACGTCACTCGCTTGGAGAAAAACATGCAAAGAACATGTAAAAAGGGAGCCAGAAAAACCGTTCGCGACGTTCGAGGTACTCTCTATACACAGGTTCGCCTCATACCCTGGTACCATTGTATTTGGTGATTTTTCATGAAATGATTTCGATGAGTATTGATCGCATAGGTTCTGTTAGCAAACTAATCCTGGCAGCTCCATAATATCGAGTTTCCATCCTCTCTTGTTTTAATTACAGTAGCTTTCGTCTTCTGCGCTCCGAAAAATGGTGTTTCCGGGCCCAGTTCGGCGACGGGGGGCATTTTACACTTTCACACCTTCACTACTTCTGGTTTACAAGTCTCATCTGGTAAAATTTGTGAACTGTTGTGGAGGTGGAGCAAGATCGCTTAGCTATCATGGTAAAGCGTGTTAACTCAAAAGGCTAACTAGATAGGTCGACTCATTGATGGGAAGCAAAGTGCCCCCTTCCGTCGCTGAACTGCGCCGTCCGTGTTTGGGATCACACGTTCCCGCTGTCTGGTTTGAACGACTTTGGCGCTTCGTTATACTTTGCAGCTTTATCTGTATCTCTCAGACTTCGTTCATACTGCGCGTCAGCGTTTTGAACGTACGGAATTTGAGAGTACGGCAAACTTTCGAGAGACTAGGAATGTATTGGTATCGATCCAGCGTTTTGAGCTTACGCCGGCGTTCTGAGCGTTTCGCGGGTAATTGCCTACGTACGCTGAAAACGCTGACGCAAACTATGAACGCAGCCTTAATGACATCTCATATTAAACCGTTGCTCGAAGTATTGAAATACTGAATGAAATCTAGATAGCTTGAAAATGATAGCTATGCACTTATCCATATCCTCTTGAAGGCACGGACGATCGAAACGTGCAATTCGGGATAGCAGTGGATTGTACTCAGTGAGGACGTGTGCGCTATATCTGCAAGCTGATCACAAACTTTACGAACACATAAAACGGAAGGAGGGAAACAACGATCCCATACGGTAAGGTTTTTCACTGAGTAAAAACCGTAACTGGTTTTCTGTTATTCTATTAGGTTGGCGGGAATTTCTGTCATTTTTTCGAACTCAGAATATTTGCCCATTACCTGAAGAGGGGTGAACGGTAATGTGAGCACTTATACATCAAAGAGTGGTCTTTCTATTAGTACCACTCGCTTGATTCCTGCTTCTTCTTCTTCTGCAATATGGACAAGAATGTTATCCGCTACCATCGCCACCGACCCCTCCAAATGCTTCTGATAGTGCAGCGCACTTCCAAAAAAGTTCTAGCCGTTCCTCATGCAATAGAGCTGGATGGCTCTCCCCTTGCAGTGGTGTAGCACAGACATTGCTCCTTCTAACTGCGAGTTGCCTCCCGTAATCAATCATTACTGGACGAGAAATTACGAGAAAACCTCGAAAAGTCTGAGTTCAAGCCAAGATTGAGATGATGTCCAACTTTGTATCGCGCCTCCCTGCATTGTGAAGCGATGGCATCCATGAGGTGCTCAAAAACAGGCAAGGACCCCGCAGTAGCATTGCTGTACAATTTTGATCTTACACGCCTCTCTATAAAAAGAAAGCCTAATTTGAAAAAATGTGACAGAACTTTCCCGCCAACCTAATATAATTTGTTCGCATTGTATCCAGTCTCCCTTCAGTATGATGATACAGTTGACTTTAAAGGCGGCCATTTTCGACCTTCTCTTTTGGTTTTCGCTAAAGCAGTGCTGCTTTGCATGAGCTGTTGCCTAAAAAGCCTCTGGTCATCAGATGATGACTCTACAATTTTTCTCACCATTTTACTACATTTTGATATTACACATCACATTTTCATCAGCTATTGAGTTACACGTCACATTTTCATCAGCTATTGAGGTGTTTAGGAACTAGTCAGGTGAAGTCATATTTGCACATTAAGGGCGAGCGTGTCACGTTGTTATCGTACGAAGTTGTAGACCACGCAGTTGAAGAACTTTTCATTACGCGTTTTACATGTTGCCATTACCACTGTAACCGGTCCATGTTTCCTAGCTGGAGGACCGTACATGCACGATGGAGAGACGGAACAGCTTCTTCCGTTGGGGGAAATTTTGCAGAATACGGCTCCCCTCAAAGCTTCCTCGAGGGAGGTGGTACAATGCAATGGGATGGATCAGAAAAACTCAATATTATGGCCAAAAACAAACACAACTTCTTCCCTCTATCGACTAAATACGACCTTCTAGCTGGAGCTCCCCAACGTACGGCAACATCAACGTGCTGTGGGTGGGAACAGGGGTTTCGAGAAAAACAGGCTGCTGTTCCAAGGCGGAAGCAAGGTTCGTAGTTGAATTAATGCAATTAAAGCGCTCTGAAAAGTTCCTATCAAGAAGATGATAGGGGTCTAATTGCATGGGTAAAATAATTGTGATATTGAGGGGAAAGACGATGCGAGCTTACATTTTTTTTACAGTTTTTTTTGATATTTGGACCTTCCAACCTCAACGATAACCTTTTTAAAGTTATTCATGGAGCTGACCACCGCGACCGAATTCCTATTCGTGCTGATACCGTGACCTACAGCGCTAAAACGTGTGTCACGCCACCATGCTATTGAGCATCCTCACGAGATAGGCCGGTGGGCAACTGTTTACCCATCGCCTTGCGAAAATTGTCCGTCACTAGTGCGCTTTTTTAGGGTAGGGTAAGTTTTATTTACTCAAGGAAAACACGTCAGAGTTTTTGCATCAATCGTTTAGGCAAAGAAATTCGGAGTTTCTTTGGATTCGGACTTCAAAACATTGTTTTCCAGAACTCGTGAAGAAATTGTGAGCCTATTTTACAATCATATCAAAGCAGTGAATGAGATCTACGAGGGAACGAACTTCAACGGCATCAAAGGCCTTCATTTTGTGATCCAAAGAACTTCGGTTGGTTTCAGCTACATCTTTAGTCAGCTTAAGCAGAACGTTGGTACTCGAGCCTTTTCTTCTACTATTTTGGAGCTTAGTATATTGTAGTTTATTTATTCTTCCACAGATTTATACTCCCGACACGTGCGATCGCGGTCGTCCTGTACCGGGCAGCGATAATCCGTTCTGTGAAGAGAATGTTGATGTGTCCAACTTCCTCAATCTTAATTCTCAACGGAATCATTCGGCATTTTGTCTAGCTTATGCACTTACTTTTCGAGATTTTGTTGGAGGAACTCTCGGATTGGCGTGGGTAGCCAGTCCACAATACAGTAAGTTCCACATTATGGTGTGTCTCACACAGTAGATTGTGGCTCGATATTTTATTTTCTTGGGGCGTTTTTTGGTTAGTTGCCCAATATCTTGCTTTGCAGATACGGCAGGTGGTATATGCCAAATCTATCAACGATACAACGAAGGCTCGAGAGGCTGGGTGTTTCGCTCATTGAATACGGGAATTGTTACACTTGTCAACTACGGGAATCGTGTGCCTACAAGAGTCTCACAGTTGACGCTTGCTCATGAGATTGGTCATAATTTTGGCTCTCCTCATGATTTTCCTCTAGGTTTGAAGCTTTTCACCTTTCCTTTGATTTTCCATTGTTGCAAATAAAGTGTTGTAGAATGTCAGCCCGGCCTTCCGGACGGGAATTTCATCATGTTTGCATCGGCAACATCTGGAGACAAGGTGAACAACGCGAAGTTCTCACCGTGTTCAGTTGCGAATATCTCAAGCGTCCTGCACGTTGTGCTGCAGTCAGTGCCTATTGATCCCACGCGTCATGCTGGACCAGTTGGAGCGTTGATGAAACGGAACTGCTTCCAAGGTTAGGGTGATATTTGTAAAAACTTTCTTTGTGAGAGCTCAAGTAATGTTTCCTGTAATTTTATTTCGTCGGTTACTAAGGACCCCCTTATTATTAGGTTGTCCGGAAAGTTCTCAGCGTTTTGTGCACCTATTTTTTGTACATTCACTGCTGATTAAAAACTCATTCTGCCTTGCTTCTCAGTAGCACATCCTGTAGAGAATTTCTTGCGCTATCTGATGGTATAATTGCCGTTTCACCATTGCTTGATAAACCCCCTTTTTTCAAGATTTTTTCAAGCATGTGAAAAGAGCACTTCGGACGATTTTTTTCTTCGACTATAAATTGGGGCAATCCGCAATCGAAACAGCTCAACAAATTAACCAGGTGTGGGGGCCCAATAGTGCTAGAGAAAGCACTGTGCGGCAATGGCTCAACAAATTTCGTTCTGGAGATAGCCTTGAAGATGAACCTCATAGCGGTCGACTAAAGCAATATCTGACGAGGATTTAGGGGGATTTTGGAGGCTGACCCATCCCAAACAGTTCGAGAGATAGCAGAAGAGCTAGGCCTTGGCAAATCCACTGTTGCAGATGGTCTGGAACGCATTGGGAAGGTGAAAAAACTCGACAATTGGGTGCCCCACAATCGGAGTGACCGGCAGGAATCGGCACGTCTCGAGGTTCCTTCTGCATTGCTTTTGCGCAGCAGAAACGACCTGTTTTTGGGCCGAATTGTCACCTGTGATGAAAAATGGGTCATGTATGATAACAGGAGACGTTCCGGACAGTGGTTGGATTTCGACGAACCACCGAGGTAATTTTCAAAGCCGAACCCTCACGAAAAAAGATTCTGGTCACGGCTTGGTGGTCATCGGCTGGTGTGATCCACTATAACTTTTTATCACCAGGCCAAACCATCACAGCAGAACCCTACTGTGAAGAAATCGACGAATTGTACCGAAAATTTTGTCAGATGCAGCCCAACACTTATCAAAAGAAAGGGTCCGATTCCTTTGCATGACAACGCCCGCCCACACGTTTCACAAATCACTATCCATAAATTGAACGAATTGGGGGTTGAAGTTCTACCTCAACCGCCATATTCTTCAGACCTTTCGCCAACCGACTATCACCTTTTCTAACATTTTCAGAACTCCCTTGCTGGAAAATACTTCATCAATCAGGACCAAAAAAGCCTTAGTGGATTTCGTGAATTTTCGACCACCCAGTTTTTTACTTTGATGGGATTTCTCGACTGCTGTCACATTGGCAAAAGTGTGCTGATTCGAATGGTGCCTATTTCGATTAAATCCGATGAGTATTAAAAAAGTTACGATCGTTTAAAGTGAAACACCCAAAACGCTGAGAACTTTCCGGACAACCTAATAATTCAGTTTGTTTACATAGATAGCAGTTCGGTAAGATTTTAGATCTATGTGATGGTTGGATACTTTAAGTCATCCTCACTGATTTGCGGCCAATATTTAGAGCGAACATCAGCGTTCTGCGGAAATCAGATCCATGAACCAGGTGAAGAATGTGACTGTGGATTCTCACAAGCAGACTGTGACCAGATGGGTGATAAATGTTGCACGCCTCATGAAACGGCACGAAGCGGTTTCAGTGTTAGTGGAGGCCCGTGTAAACGAAAGGTGAGTCAGTCTCGTCTGTTTGCAATTTCGTATTGATTATTGCCATATTAGGAATTGATAGTCTCACTGTAAAATGCGTGGATTATGTTTGCATTGTCACGGTATGAAGAGGGTTGGCTGGATACTATTGTATTTGTACTTGTATCATAGGTGCTCCCATTAATCATCGAATTGCACGAACGGATGCCTGTGAGGTGTGAGGCGCGCTATTGTTATCCAGTGTGTTCTCTGACCAGGGAAGTCTGCCAACTTACCATGGAACTTTGAATGAGACCTGGGTAGATCGATAGAGTCTATAAGGTTATTTACAAATATAGATAGCAAAACTGCAACCTGCATTTCACAAGCAACTTATGAGCAGGTAAAGTTTGTAATGGTGCAGTAGGTGGAGGCTTGGTGGTGAGCTGTGAAGCATAAGCGAGGAATCGCATACGTCGAATCGAGTCGTGGTGGTTCAGTGGTAAGGTTCGACGTTCGACGACTCGATTCGACGTATGCGATTCCTCTCCTATGCTTCACCACCAAGCCTCCACCCTACTGCACCATCTCACAAGTTGCTTGTGAAATGCAGGTTGCAGTTTTGCTATCTATATTTGTAAATAACCTTATAGACTCTATCGATCTACCCAGGTCTCCATTCAAAGTTCCATGGTAAGTTGGTGGACTTCCCTGGTGAGCTCTAGGGACCATGAACATCAAACCATTCGTTCAGAGCTTTCACGAAGAAGTTCAACCATCGCGTAGACCTCAGTCATGTAATACAGCAGTACGTAGCCTACAGTCTTCATGCCGTGACCGTGCAAACATAATGCCCGTGTTCTGTGGTTGGACTGGTCAATTCAATCACATGGTTAACAGCAATTCAGTGGCAACAATACTCAATGTGGCAGTGTTCACTTCACTGGTGTCGGACAGGAAAAAGTTGTCCTACTTCCAAACGTTGTGGTCGTGTCGGGGTTGTAGTTTGCACAGGACGGATGGCGCTCTGACTAGCTAAAAGGCTTAGGAGGCCGTTGCCGATGCTTCAGAGTTTTTATTAGTAATGCCGTTATGCAGTTATGACTAGAAAAGTCAGAGTTCCCTGGTGTTGGAATGACTTAATAAGAACCATCTCTACATTTGAGAAGAAAGTATGTCAAAAGCCGACGTGGTTCCGTTAGCTATTGCGGACCGCAGCTCATTTCATGATTTTGACCCCGATACTTAGCAGTATAATCTGTCTTTTGTCTGCTTTGGCCAAATTCTGTACATGAAAAAGGTACACATTAATTCAAATGAACTGCCGCAGTGAAAAATTGTATGACTGCGTCTGTGGATTTTGAGATTTATTATCTTGAGCTGCGCCTTGAAGATGCAGCCGTTTTTTTAGAAATTGAAATTTCAAGGTATTTGGGTCATCTTTATCAATTTGTGCGCGAGCTTTTGGTTGTAAGCTTAATTATTTCCATCGTTCAGAACGGGGCCAAGTGTTCTCCGTCTGAGGGATACTGTTGCAATTCCGAGACTTGTTCGTTGCACCAAGCGATTGATTATAAAATTTGTCGTCATGTAAGGATTCTAAATAATTGGTTTCTCGTCCGCAAGGAATGCATGTTCTTTTTTCTCAAGGAATCAGAATGTAGTGAGACGCAGTGGTGTAATGGACTCACAGCCCAATGCCCTCCATCTCCACCTAAAGAGGATGGATTGCCATGTCAGGACAGTACGAAGGTTAACACATTTATTTATTTTTATTTGGTTCTATTTGTACAGTTGAATGCCTTTGACATATGGATTCGCTTCACAGGTGTGCTCAAGAGGTAGCTGTAATGGATCGATATGTGAATTTGTTGGTCTAAAGGACTGTTTCCTCACTGAAGGAAAGCCGGAAGAGTTGTGCTTCCTGGCTTGTATCAAAGATGGAAGTAGGTTTAATTAAGTTAAAGATATATGCATTGCCTGGAACATTCACAAGTTTGTTTGGAGTTGGAAAAAATCGGGGGTAAATAGTATTAACAACGTCTGCGTCAGGATAAGCTAGAGTTTGTACCTAGAAAGGATCTAATACTGTATCCAGAGCAGAGCACTTTCCCGTTGTGGGATTCTCAGTGGAGGAGGGATCGTATTTTTGCTGGACGGATGAGGGTCATTTTTAATTTGAGAAAAAAAATTTTATGGTTGTTTCTCCTGTTTTACAGGCGCTGTGCACATCGTTAGGAAAGCTCCAATGGGAGGGAAGGATCGTATTTGTCTTTGAGAGGAATTTATCACGTTTTAAAAATTTTTTCCCCTTTTCCTGAGTTTCGTCTTTTTATCACTGATGCTGTATTTCCCTTCCCCTAGTTGTTTCAACCTCGTTCCCCCCTCCCCCGCCCCGATCGAGGCAAAATTCATTTGTAAAATGTGAAACTTCAGAGAATGTAAATGGTAAATGTAGGGTGCTGGGGAAGGGGAGGGGGTCGTAGCAGAGAAAGAAACTGAGGATGAGTCGTGTCCACCGAAAGGTTTCCTTAGCGGCAAGACGTGCTCTGATCCAGAGATTGCGTGTAAGGAAGGGATGGGGCCGCTTCCTTTTTCGCCGATGACTGGGTTCTTCTCATTTACACATTTCCACTACCTCTGTGCTGCTTCTCTACCATTTTCACTTTTTTCAACTCCCAGTAGCTTCTTAGAGTGAGAACAATGGTTTCCATACTCTATCTTTTTTTCAGAATGCACATCGAGTGTGAATCTGCCGGAGTTTGCCGCGAACAGAACTGTCTTCACTGAGTTTAGTCAACACGGCAGAAAAGGAAAGAGTGGACTAGTGTTGCACCCAGGATCGCCTTGTGATAACTACAAAGGTCAGAAGACTTACACCATAATTGAGTAGTTTGGTTGAAATTCGAACGCATTACGGAAGCGATTGGTTACGCTTGGTGGCGCACCAATGTAGGTCAGCTGTCGTTGACCTGTTATCAGCAGAACGCGGACAATGGCGTACCAGGTCGTAGTTATATTGCTCCCCTATACGATCCTGTCTGGGAAGGGTGGCGTAATCAGTGGTCATTGCGAAATAACAAAATTTAATATATTTGAAATACGGAGTACGGAGCCCATGCGAGGTTCCATGATCTTACTCAAGGGAATGATGATTATTTGAAACGTATTTTTGTTTATGCTGGAAATAATTTTTTCTGAGAGAGGGAAGCAGTAGGGGATTAGGAGTGCTTTGCAAAAAGTGGTTACAATGGCAGTAGGCGTGCTTTTGAACAATCAGGGGAAATGCAGAAATTCATGATTAACACTGTTCCTGACGAGCATTTACGGCATCTAAGAGTAGAAACAGGTGGTGTTCATTCTCTTACAAATATTTTCATAAATAAAATGTAATATTGAATAAATAATTAAACAAGTAAGTCATTGGCATTATTCTCGAAATTCCAGGATACTGCGACATTTTCCGTAAATGCCGTAGTGTTGACGCCAATGGTCCGCTTGCTCGTCTGAAGAACTTATTGTTCAATAAAAAGACCATAGAGACGGTTACGCAGTGGGTTCAGGTAAGTTTTTGAGTTTTATCCCAAAGACAGTAGGGTACACGATTTAGTTGCCTGTCAAAAATGAAGGTGGAGGTGCTAAATAGTACGTCGCCATTCCACTGAGGACACGTTGCACGTTGGGATCCCCAGCGAGCGGGTCGTATTGGCTTGGTGAAGGAAGGGTGTGGTGTTTGCTTTCGTAAAAATACTTTCCGTTGCTGCCTTTTTCAGTTTTGTTCCAGTTCACATGCGCTACATGCCCCACCTAGAGCTCGACGATTTTTCGGGGAAAAAGTGTGAAGTTTCGGCAAAAACCCTGGAAACGGAGTAGGGTGTTGAGAGGATTTAGGAACATGGTAGGTGAGCTGGGAAAGAGGGTCGTACCAGTAGAGGAAGTTTTGAGGGAGGGGTTCTTATTTTGCAAAATTTCCCCCAACGGCAGGTCAAGCCTGATTCTACTCAAAGGCTGGTCGGACCGGTCAAAGGACAGTGGGGATAGTGTTCATCAGGGGACAAGCTACCTGAAACTCAGGATGTGTGATTACGTTTCTTAGACCTTCATTGCATACTTCGTAGCACGCCTCTCGTCGCAAATAAGCCACTTATCGCAAGTTAGACGCATTATTTCCCCTTTTTCGCTGTTACATAGCACATATTTGCAAGAAAAAATGTTCGTATCCACTGCCTTCAATGGAACTTGTTAAGGAATGTTTTCTAGCTCATGTTTTCATCCACTTTTTTTTCAGGAGAAGTGGTGGGTGGTTGTATGCGGTGCGTTGATAATCCTCGTCTTTATGGCATTATTCATCAAGTGTTGTGCTGTTCATACGCCAAGTACGAATCCAAACAAACCACCGGCACTGAATCTTTATCAGACTCTGACAAGGCCTTCGACGCTGATTGTGGGTTCAATTTCATTAATAGTGATTGATTATGATCACTGGCATATTAGTTTACTTGGAGATAATTTCCATTAGGTTTATCCATAACTTCCTGAATGCTTTACGTTGTTGCTGTGGAAATTCTTGAAAAAAGAAAAACAATCCAAAATTTTGATACATGTCCCGTTATGTGGCGTAGTCTTCCTCGGTACCAGCTAGCTATCCAACTCATTTATCAGCTGCTTGTTGTCCATTTTTTTCAGGATGAGACTTTGAAACCTTTTTTTTTCGTAAGTGCAGGTTCGGTTGGCCTGAACGATAGGTTGCACGCGATTTGCTAAGTGATAGAGGGGGTCACATTATTAATCCATGCCACATCAACGGTACACTTTACTCCAGGAAGGCTTTCTTTATTGGAAAATGATTTGCGCGTTTGCTGCTCTTCCCCCCTGACTCTCGATTCCGATCATCTGCGCGAAGCTGTTGGAAAGGTTCTCCGACACACTAGCAGTTATTTATCATAGCACCTTACCAGGGAAGTCCGCCAAATTACCATGGGACTTTGAATAATAAGGTTGTTACAAATACATATACATACATACATAAATATAAAAACAAATATAGGTAGCAGAAATGCAACCTGCATTTCACAACCAACTGACGAGCAGGTAGTTAGTGGTGCACTGGAGTGGAGACTTGGTGGTGAGCTGTGAAGCATAAGCGAGGAATTGCCAGATCGGGTCGTGGTGGTTTAGTGGTAAAGTTCGACGTTCGACGACTCGATTCAACGCCATTCCTCGCTTATGCTTCATAGCTCACCACCAAGCCTCCACCCTACTGCACCATTACAAATTTTACCTGCTCATAAGTTGCTTGTGAAATGCAGGTTGCAGTTTTGCTATCTATATTTGTAAATAACCTTATAGACTTATCGACCTACCCAGACATTCAAAGTTCCATGGTAACTTGACGGACCTCCCTGGTAGGTGAAAAGAGATGACATCCTTGTGGCATTCCCCTAATCTAGGGAAGACTTGAAGGATTTTCTCCTCGCATCACACCTACGACTGATTACCCAACCACAGTAGCAGTGTAAAGAGGGGCGTTAGCGGCTGGTAAACCTGGAAACTCCGACCCGCTAGTATACAGGCAACCTATAGCCCTCCTTTTGGAGCTTGATTGACAACTTGAGGAAAAATATAGCAGTTTCCATGTCCATGCTTGGTTCTCAACTAGGAGTGACGTTTTCCCTAGCGTCATCCGGCTGGCTTTTCCATTAATTTTTTATTCTTCTAGCGAAGATCTGACTGGAGATCTTTTTAACTGTTTTAGCGAATGTCTGTTCCCTCAGTTTAGCGTTAGGTAAGATTGCAGTTTTGGTTCGATTCACATCTCAAGTGCGCACCTGTGCGTGCATCAAATAAATAAATAAATAAGCATATAAATAAAAATAATAAATAGCGTTCAACTTTTAATTGTTGAGAAGTTTAATTTGTGAAAATTCAGCGACAACGTCGGCATCGAAGTCGTGCACCATTACCAGGTGCCACATCAAGTAGTGCAGCTCCACGATCGAGTTCCGCAGCGCAACAGTCGGCGTCATCAGCTCGTCCTCGTGCTTCAGCACCTCCCCTTCCGCAGGCACCGTCTACGGCGGCTCCGGTGATCCCAACTGGGTCCGCTCCACCAGTGTCTACGGTGCTGGTAGTAGAACCACCCCCTCCTTATACAGCTGCTGCCGATCCTGGTAGTGCTTTAGGAGGCCCACGAAGAGGCCATCGACGGAATAAACGGCAAACAAGTTCCGACGCGGTGCCAAAAGCACCGAAACAGAAATCGCGATCAAAAGGCAAGTGATTAGTGTGTTTTAGTCGGTGCGTTTCTGATGGGTGATTGTCTATATATTGAAGAGGGTGCTTCAATCAGTTTTGTTTTGTGCACACATTTCGGTTATTTAATTTTTCGTATAATACACTGCATGATATGTTCTTCATGATAATCATTGCCAAGTTTCTTAGTTTTTTTTGACGGTTAATTGATTGGTTCTACGGTGACTACCACCTTTTGTCTTTATGTGCAGGGCTGACAATCGGAATGCTCACTTTTTCTCGGGAAATGAAAGGAAATACAGTAAAGCGACTAGCTTTCTGAGGACCATTCATTGTAGTACTGGTCGATTGTTTTCCTTTCATTTTCCAGTGTGGATGTGATATTCCCAAGGATAAGCCTGAACTGAACTTTCCAGTTTCTATGTATCAATTGAGGATATGATATTTGCTCACTTATCACTTTCCCATGGTTATCAATTTGACTTTTTCTCGTAATCATTGGCCGATTGTACTGGGTTTGTCTTCATTTCATTCTCGACGCTTTTTTAGGTTGAAATTATTTTGAAGTCGAATTTCTATCGCTTTCCTTTGAACCCATCAGATCTTTCTTTCTTCTAGGTGACGTTTTTACCACTACTTACTCATGTTCATTTATTGCCGCAAAAGCCTTTCCACACAAAATGGTCTAAGTTTCTTTCTCAGAATTAAGTATTTTCTGTAAAATTTGGTGATTTTGGTCTCATATACTCCTACGCTATGCATTGTTCACCACGTGTCTTTGGATTACGATTGATGATAAATATATAATTTTCCTAATAATGAGAGCAATAATAGAATAAGAGGGTTTCAGAAAGAATATAGTTTAAAGGGAGTAAGAACAACGAAAACAGTCTTTGGACGACACTTGAGCTGCGCCTGTACTTTACGACATGGAGTATAGCGGAAGCACAGAGCGCACTAATTAGGAGCAGGGCAGATTGTAAAGCCTCCACTTGATGTATTATATTAATAATAGAGAAGGGAGCCAAAAAAAGCCACCTCGGCCGAGTCACATATCAGCAAAGTTTTCGCAGCCCAGACAGAGGACGTGGATACGAGTACCAGGGCAAGATGTTCCTCGATAAGCAGGAGCTGGCTCTCGCCCATCACCTTCATGTACACCAAAATATGAAGTCATCTCCAGTCGCAGCCTGACTGGAGAAGGCCTTGGAATTCATGTCACCTCCAAACAGCTGCGAAACTTCTTGTATGGAGTCACCCATGGATAGCTACCTGGAGACCAGTACTCTTGATCTGGATGACCTCCAACATCGAGCAGCCCTACAACGTCACTATGGTTTAGGACATCATCTTCACACCGATATTTTCTTCGTAGAGTTCGGACTGAAGGTGAGCGCTGACAGGTTACATCGAGCAACTCGTGAAGAATATCCTCCCCACATGTGTCGCCTTACACCATCTTGCAAACCTTTGTACTGCTACAGGATTGGGTGCCACCACATGGAGTTAGGGCGCTGGAAAAACTATTGGGTGCCTCCACACGATTCGAAAGGCATCGGAAAAACTTTCGCCTACTTGGAATGGAAGGACGTTGAGTACCTGAAGAAGACGGAATATCCAAGTGTGTCACCTGACCTAAACCCCCTCAATTACCCGGTTCGGGCGGAGTTCAATAGGGTGGTCTACAGTGGCGGAGAAATCAACGATCTCGCTGAACTCAGGTACCCACTCACGGTCGCGTGGCAGAATCTCTCGATGGCGCTCGTCCAGAAGGCTGTGGCGGAGCATCATGATAGTATACAATATGCTGTTGAATATGGTGGTGGAAATGTCCAATCAGAATTTAATTAAGTGTAACTTATAGCCCTGAAAGTCAAGGAAGAAAAGTGACTTTTTTTGCCCCCCCCCTGTATACATTACCAATGTATATTATAATAATGTACTATTTGTGATGCGGTACGCATTCTATATCCATTTATAAGAAGAAGCTTATTGAATGCGATGTGGGCTGTGTAATGACTTGAGGAGACAAGCTGATGCAGTCCAGTCACTTATCCTCCCAGATGAATCTGGGACCAGTTCATTGTCCCAGGAGGATAGAAGGCTTGGTTGACTTGCGCGGGAGCCGATCCGGGCATTCACCGCCCGCGTGCGACTTGCCCATACTCCGCGTCCACCGCAGGGCAGATTTAATCAGGCGGTCGTGTATTGCCGGTAGGGGCAGTTCGTAAGGGCAGGGGCCAATTAGTGCTGAAGATTGATCAAACCAAAGCGATTAGCTTGGACATTTTCCTAAGACTATGTGGGGGAGGAAGGCAGAAACGAAATTTTTTCCGTCGACAAGGCAATATAGATAACCCTTTATTAAATTCTGATTTCACACTTACCATCATATTCAACAACACATTGTACACTATCACGAAACTCCGCCACAGCCTTCTGGACGAACGCCATCGAGAGATTCTGCCACGCGACCGTGATTCGGTGCCTGAGTTCAGCGAGGTCGTTGATTTCTCCGCCACTGTAGACCACCCTGTTGAGCTCCGCTCGGACCCGGTAATCGAGGGGGTTTAGGTCAGGTGACACACTTGGATATTCCAACTCAACGCCCTTCCATTCCAAGTAGGCGAGAGTTTTTCCAACGCCCTTCGATTCATGTGGTGGCACCCAATGCTGTAGCAGTACAAAGTTTCCAAGAAGGTACGGGCGACGACATGAAGGAAGGATATTCTTCACGAGTTGGTCGATGTAACCGTCAGCGCTCACTTTCAGTCCGGGGTCCACGAAGAAAATATCGGTCTTTCCATTCCAGGTACGTCCGGTCCATACCATCAACCCGCGCCTTGGCGACTGCGGTGAAGATGATGTCCTAGACCGTAGCGACGTTGTCGGAGCTGCTCGATGTTGGAGGTCTTCCAGATCAAGAGTGCCGGTCTCCAGGTAGCTGTCCATGGGTGACTCCATACAAGAAGTTTCGCAGCTGTTTGGAGGTGACGTGAATTCCATAGGCCTTCTCCAGTCAGGCTGCGACTGGAGATGACTTCATATTTTGGTGTACATGAAGGTGATGGGCGAGAGCCTGCTCCTGCTTATCGAGGAACATCTTGGGTATCTTCCGCCCTGGTACTCGTATCCACTTCCTCTGTCTGGGCTGCGAAAACTTCGCTGATATGTGACTCGACCGAGTGTGACTTTTGCCCTCCCCTGTATACGCAAATCTCTGCACAGCAGGCATTATAGAAGTGAGCACATCTCTGCGTGCGAGTCAGATACATGGCACAATCGACGCCGAATGAAGTAGTGATTTCTCACTCACTTCGACGAAAAGGCGTGAAAAAACGAAGTGGTTAGTGCGGCAGCTGCGAGCGGCTCATAATGTTCCATAGCAGTTTTACTGTGGGGGGATTTTCGAAGGAGTTACTCTACAGGAAAAAGAGCTTTTCGGAAGTGTAAAAGAAGATGGTGGCTGGTGACTTGTAGATAGTCTGGGTCCAGTAAGGGCATTAGGTATTCTGAATCAAAATTGGCTGTCACGACGATTGTGAAAGTCAAATGCATGGCGCATCTCGAAGAAGGGTCAATTCACGGCAGGTCTCGGAATTCTGAGCTCGTAATCTTGTTTCTGTCGCTTCGATTCGCTCACGTTTGCATGACATTTAGCCTGGGTAGATCTTAGAGGAAAGTGAGTAGTCACGAATATGGAGATGAAAAAAGCCTGTGAGCAAGGACAAAATGGAGAAATGTTCTTCAGTCCTCAATCATTCCTCCTGTAATGGCTCTTTGTTCCACGCCCAGCTAGTTCCTGCTTTGCGCCCCTTCAAAGCCATCGTTCGGATCCTCGTTTCTGAAGCATGTTTACAGCTTCGTTTCCGAAATTTCAAGTATGCTCTTGAAGTAATTCACTTGGAACCCGCTCTGGTAATTTTCCGAACTTCCACGAGCTCAGGCCGGTAGTTGTCTCATTAGGCTCCTTGGACTTCTGTCAATGCGTGAATAATACGTTTTTCATTAGTGTTTCTAGCGCAGGCCCAAGAAATCGTTTTAAAAAAACAGCCCGTCATTACAAACAATGAGGCGGAATGTGAACACTCAGATTCACCTGTTAGTGAAAAAAGAAGGAACCCTCGGAAACGCTCTGAGGCCAGGGTTTAGCTACCACATTTTCCAGCCCAGTTTATCAGAAAACTTTCCGTCGAGCGAGCGGGGGTGGGAGGGGGGGGGGGTAGTTTTCATGCGAAACGGGAAAAATGTGAAATGGGAGAAACCACGAGAAAAGTCAACAAATGGGAAAACGCGGAGCAAATTTCTCCCATAGCCACGTACTACTCAGATGTACGAACCCGCCTGCCTATGTGTTTCACACAGCGATGCCGTCCACTGCCTGCGGCCCTCCTCTCTGCAGTAAATGTTCAGTATTAGACGAAAATAGACACTGTGGGCGAGACATAGGGATGTGTGGAGATGGTAACAGGTATATAGGAGGACTGGGCGCTGTTTGTCGACGGGGGGGGGCATTTTGTGCTACCATTGCTTCCCTAGTTCCGGTTTAAAAACCTCACCCTGGTAAAACTTGTGAACTCCTGTGAAGCTGGAGTAAGATCGTCTAGCCACCATCCTAAAACGTGTCAAATCGAAGAAAAGGCTACCTAAAGTATGGGATCGGCACAACTGGTGGAAAGCAGGAACGCCCCCCCCCGTCGACAAACTGCGCCGTGAGGCACTCTTACTGGCTTTAACTAAGCGAGTTGACATGCGTGGCTGCGACTCGACTCGATCTTCATCCTACCTCAGCGCTGGAGCTTTGCAGTGGCGCTACTACCTTTGTCTTTCGCTCGTCTTGAGAAAATATTTCGAATGGTTTCTAGAAGGGTCAGTGGCAAATCGCACGCTATTATGCTCTGAGCAACAATACTCACTTTAATACGTAACCTTTTGCAAAACCAAAACTGTTTTGTCAGCAAAGTAGCAATTCAAATGAAGTTAAATGGACTACTGATGCGCGCGCGAATTGTCTGAACGCACATTGAG